CCCCCCCCCCCCCACTCTGAGTCTCCATCTCTAAAACAAGGGCACACAGACCTGCAATCTCCAGCTGCCCTCCTTACACCAAGGTTCTGTCTTCACGTGTCTCACACCTCTTGCTTGCCTTTGCTGTCAGCCATCCTGCACCAGGGAAGGCCTTGAACGCACTCAGAGCACTTAGACTTGACCCTGTGGGGAACCAGTAGCCAAAGTTAGAAGGATGCTGGGGACTACTGCCTGAGCACAGCGCTTGGGCCCGAGACCCCCACGGCCCCGTCTCTGCTCCCTTCTCTGAAACCCTCTGCCCCTCTGCCAGCTCTGGAAGCTGAGCCCTAATTAGGGAAGAGTCTGGGTGCCAGTGCCTCTCTGTCCCTCAGGCAGTTGGGTGGAGGCCATTAACATGCTACTCAAGGGTGTGCCTGGGGGTGCCCCACCTCCCCCAAGCATCCCAACTTGTTTTCCCGAGAAGAGCTTTGGGCTGCTTTGTTCTGGTTCAGCGCTGGCAGAGAATGCCTTGCCGGCAATCCAGTGCAAAGCCAGGCTGAATCCCAGCCAGGCTGAGTCGGGATTAAAGGATTGACTCCATAGAGAGAAATTAAGCGTCATGATCTGCGCAGTTCACAGCGCTTGCTGATAAGGGGGATCAGCCTCGAATAACAGCAATCTCATTAAGAGGCTGCTGAATGGCACAGGGTAATTCCTGCTAATAAACTTCCTTTCTGCGCTGTAGGAAAACCCGCCTGGCCCCTGGTGACAGTTTAGGAGCAGGTTTTGGCAGCAATAATACTAAAGATAGCTAACACTTATTGAGCGATTACTGTGTGTCAGGCCTGCTTATTGCATCAGGGCTCCTCAACAAGCTGGTTGGCATTATCATCCCCATTATACAGATGAAGAAACTGAGGCTCAGAGAACATAATCACTGGCCCAAAGTTGCATGGCTCGTAAAAAGTACCTCACATCGTTTGAGTTCTTACGAATTAGTTCATTTGATCCTCAGAACATCCCTCTGAGTTGTGTCCACATTAGCTCGCCTTTATAGATAAGGAAACTGAGGTTAAAAGGGCTAAGTATAGAAAATGGAAGCACATATTTTGGGCAGAAAAATGTCAGTTAAAAATTACTTATCAATAAGAAAATTATTAGTCCTGTGCAACAATTAATGATTTAAATAATGATCATAATATTTAATAAATATAAACTGTTTCCATAATGTTTTGCCTCCAGAATGCAATAGCTCATTTCCTCAACTGCTATAAGTAGGGCAGATGCTTTGATTTTTTTCCAAGTTATAGTGCTGTTTGGCTTGTTTGTGTTTAGAAGTGTGCATTATGCAATTCATTTTAGTGTGCTATTTCTGTGTTGTTTATTTTTTGTTCTTTTAATAAAATGTGTAAATTTCAAAATAAAATAAAGTGGCTAAGTAACTTGCCCAAGGCTCTGCAGCCACAGTATCAGACCAGGATTCTGACCCTCCCATGAACTCCAGAGCCGGTGCTCTGAACAGCCACCCTCTTCAGCGGGGTAGATGGGGTGGAGGATTAGGGATGGGGGAAGCCCCCTCAGAAGTCATCTCTTCTAGCCTCTTTTCAAGTAGTCGGGGGACTGCAGCTAAGTGAGACCTGGGGACTTTCCCAGGAGGCAAACAAGTTGGCAACTCAGAGTGGTAGGATTTGGGAATGGCCACATGTAATTTCTGATCCCTTTGAGCTGCTTCACCTCTCTGGGCATCAGTCTTCTCATCTGTAAAGTAGGCTCATCACCATTCTCCACAGGCTGGGTGAGGGTTCTGGAGATGATGTATGTAAAGTATTAAGGGCTATGGCACATTCTAAAATAAGACTGAA